AGTACGGCCAGTACTACTACTACTACTACTACTACTACTACTACTACTACTACTACTACTACTACTACTACTACTACTACTACTACTACTACTACTACTACTACTACTACTACTACTACCACTACTACTAATACTACTACTACTACTACTACTACTACTACTACTACTACTACTACTACTACTACTACTACTACTACTACTACTACTACTACTACTACTACTACTACTACTACTACTACTACTACTACTACTACTACTACTACTACTCCTTACTACTACTACTACTACTACTACTACTACTACTACTTACTACTACTACTACTACTACTACTACTACTACTACTACTACTACTACTACTACTACTACTAATACTACTACTTCTTCTTCGACTACGACTACTGCTACTACGACTATTACTACTGCGACTACGGCTACTACTACGACGACGACGACGACTACTACTAGGGCTTGTCTTCCTCCGCCTCATCCTCATCCCCATCCGAATCTTCATAGCAGCAGCAGCAGCAGAAAAAAAGCATCAGTATCAGCAGCATCGGAATCAACATCCTGGGCCCTCGATCGGCTTGCACGCCATCCTAGCTTGGCCAGTGAGGCATATACACTGAACCTGGGCTGTGGACCAGGCTGAACAGGATCGTCGCAAATGTATAGCCAGCGCAAACCGACCCCTACAGCCGACGCCGCGAAAACAGCACGACGCCGTGGTATAAATAATTACCCTGGCGACGTACCCAACCCCTGCGCAAAAGCGGGGCGCAAATAGTTTAGGATACGTTATAAGGGGGCGATGACGGAGCGAGGGTTGCATATGTCTGCGGCCGGAATTCGGGAGACTCGCAGGACACTGGCGACAGGAAAAGGGCTTGATAAAACTGATGAGTTACAATTCCTGGGCACTCCTAGCCACTTCGAAAATGGTGATCACAGCAGGCCTCGAAAGTGGCGACAGTTTCACAGATCGCAGCCCCGCAGGGATGGCGAGGTCTAATTTGGGTCCGCGCGTGGCGTCACTGTGCTGGGCCCCCCAGCAGGCCTCGAAAGTGGCGACAGTTTCACAGATCGCAGCCTCCAGGGGATGGCGAGGTCTCATTTGAATCTGCCCGTGGCGTCACTGCGCTGGGCCCCCCAGCAGGCCTCGAAAGTGGCGACAGTTTCACAGATCGCAGCCCCCAAGGGATGGAGAGGTCTCGTTTGAATATGCCCGTGGCGTAACTGTGCAGGGCCCCCCAGCAGGCCTCGAAAGTGGCGACAGTTTCACAGATCGCAACCCCCCCAGAGATGGCGAGGTCTAATTTGAATCCGCGCGTGGCCCTCACTGTGCTGGGCCCCCAGCAGGCCTCGAAAATGGCGACAGTTTCACAGATCGCAGCCCCCCAGGGATGGCGAGGTCTCGTTTGAATATGCCCGTGGCGTCACTGTGCTGGGCCCCCCAGCAGGCCTCGAAAGTGGCGACAGTTTCACAGATCGCACCCCCCCAGGGATGGCGAGGTCTAATTTGAATCCGCGCGTGGCCCTCACTGTGCTGGGCCCCCCAGCAGGCCTCGAAAATGGCGACAGTTTCACAGATCGCAGCCCCCCAGGGATGGCGAGGTCTAATTTGAATCTGCCCGTGGCCCTCACTGTGCTGGGCCCCCCAGCAGGCCTCGAAAATGGCGACAGTTTCACAGATCGCAGCCCCCCCCAGGGATGGCGAGGTCTAATTTGAATCCGCGCGTGGCCCTCACTGTGCTGGGCCCCCCAGCAGGCCTCGAAAATGGCGACAGTTTCACAGATCGCAGCCCCCCAGGGATGGCGAGGTCTAATTTGAATCTGCCGTGGCCCTCACTGTGCTGGGCCCCCCAGCAGGCCTCGAAAATGGCGACAGTTTCGCAGATCGCAGCCCCCCAGGGATGGCGAGGTCTAATTTGAATCCGCCCGTGGCCCTCACTGTGCTGGGCCCCCCAGCAGGGCTCGAAAATGGCGACAGTTTCACAGATCGCAGCCCCCCAGGGATGGCGAGGTCTAATTTGAATCCGCGCGTGGCCCTCACTGTGCTGGGCCCCCCAGCAGGCCTCGAAAATGGCGACAGTTTCGCAGATCGCAGCCCCCCAGGGATGGCGAGGTCTAATTTGAATCCGCGCGTGGCCCTCACTGTGCTGGGCCCCCCAGCAGGCCTCGAAAATGGCGACAGTTTCGCAGATCGCAGCCCCCCAGGGATGGCGAGGTCTAATTTGAATCCGCGCGTGGCCCTCACTGTGCTGGGCCCCCCAGCAGGCCTCGAAAATGGCGACAGTTTCGCAGATCGCAGCCCCCCAGGGATGGCGAGGTCTGATTTGAATCTGCGCGTGGCCCTCACTGTGCTGGGCCCCCCAGCAGGCCTCGAAAATGGCGACAGTTTCACAGATCGCAGCCCCCCAGGGATGGCGAGGTCTAATTTGAATCCGCCCGTGGCGTCACTGTGCTGGGCCCCCCAGCAGGCCTCGAAATGGCGACAGTTTCACAGATCGCAGCCCCCCAGGGATGGCGAGGTCTAATTTGGGTCCGCGCGTGGCGTCACTGTGCTGGGCCCCCCAGCAGGCCTCGAAAGTGGCGACAGTTTCACAGATCGCAGCCCCCCGCAGGCAAGACAGGAGGAGGCAGGCAGGAGGCAGGAGGGAGGCGGGAGGAGACGCGACCACACTGCTCTATTCAAAACGAATACCCAACCAAGGAGGGTTGGGAAAAATCACCGATGTTCGCGACACAGGGCGTACAGGGTCAGGGCCATGGGGCCTGAGGTGAGGCGAAAGCGCCTCCCTGGGACCCCAGAGGCCTCCAAAGCCCCAAAAGAGCCAAGACCGTCCCCCCAGTTTCTTTAAGGGCCAAATATTACTAATATGAACAGGAGAGATAAATCAAAAAAAACAACCATGTCCTAGAACCACATTCGCCCCCTCCTCCCCGTCATGGTTCCACAGGAGTCGGAGGATGCGTACATCGCCGCGGTCGGAACGACCGCGTAGACGCGACCAATCAGCAGGGGGGGCGCGGCGTCCTTCTCCTTCTTCGTCTCCATGTCGACCTTGCTCAGCTCGGACGCCTACCAGGCTCGCCACTCGCCGCCGCCTCCGCCTCCGCCTCCTCTCCCTCTTCCAGAATCGCCCCATCCATCTTCCCCATCCGACCCCCTTCCATCTCGCTCCTCACCCTCCCCCATGTCTTCCTCCACAATGATCCCCCTCCTCCGCCTCCGACGTTTCCTCCGCCTCATCCGCCTCATCCTCCTCCTCCTCCTCGCTCTCCTCCTCCTCATCCGCCTCATCCTCCTCCTCCTCCTCCTCATCTTCCTATGTTTCTTCTTCATCCTCCGCCCCCTCCTCCTCCTCCTCCTCCTCCTCCTCCTCCCTCCTCCTCCTCCTCATCATCATCATCATCATCATCATCATCATCATCATCATCAGCAGCAGCAGCAGCAGCATCATCATCATCATCGTCAATCATCATCATCATCATCATCATCATCTCATCCACCACCACCACCACACCACCAATCACCACCATCATCATCATCATCATCATCATCATCATCATCATCATCATCATCATCATCATCATCATCATCATCATCATCATCATCATCATCATCATCATCCTTCTCCTCCTCCTCCTCGTCCTCCTCATCCTCATCCTCATCCTCCTCATCCTCCCTCCTCCTCCTCATCCTCATCTTATTCCTGCTCCGCCCCCTCCTCCTCTTCCTCATCCGCCGCCGCTGCCGTCTCCGCCTCCGCCTCCGCCGCCGCCTCCGCCGCCGCCTCCGCCTCCGCATCCGCCTCCTCCGCCTCCGCCTCAGCTTCCGCCTCCGCCTTCGCTTCCGCCTCACCCGCCTGCTCCTCCTCATCATCATCCTCAGTATCCTAGTCCTTCTCCTCATCCTCCTCCGCCTCCTCCTCATCATCATCTTCCTCATCCTCCTCATCCTCCTCCGCCTCCTCCTCCTCCTCCTTTTCCTCTTCCTCCGCCTCCTCCTCCTCCTCCTCTTCCTCCTCCTCCGCCTCTGCATCCGCATCGCCTCCGCTTCCGCCTCCGCTTCCGCCTCCGCCTCACCCGCATCCTCCTCATCATCCTCCTCATCATCCTAGTCATCTTTCCTCATCCTCCTCCGCCTCCTCCTCATCCTCCTCCGCCTCTTCCTCTTCCTCCTCTTCGTCCTCCCCCTCCTCCTCATCCTCATCCTCCTCGTCATCATTATCAGTTTCCTCCTCCTCCTCCTTCTCTTATTGTTATCGAAGACGCCTACGGCGAATCACCGCCGCCGCCGCCTGCCGTCGTGGAAGCGTCTATGTGGCCGAAAGTTGGGTTGGAGCTTGGCCAAACTATCGGACCATGTGTTCCCCGAGTTTGTTTGGAACGCCTTCGGGGAACACGTGGTCGAGGAATAGGAGGATAATGAGGAAAAAAGAGCAGGGGGGAGGAGGCCTCTTCGGAGCCTCTTGAGGCACTCTTGGGCTCGATTGGGCCATCTTGGCGGTCTTGGAGGCATCCTGGGGCCGCCTTGGAGGCCACATTGGGGCCATTGTTGGGCTCTCTTGGGGCCTCTTGGGTGTCTTTGGGGCGCCTCTTTGGGGCCTCTTTGGCCGTCTTGGGCTTTTCTGAACCAACTTGGGGCCCTCTTGGGGCGCTTCAGGGCCGTCTTGTAGGCCATCTTGGGCGTCTTGGAGGCCTCTGAGGCCGTCTTTAGGCCCTCTTGGGGCCGTCTTGGGGACATCTTGGACCGTCCTGGGGCCATCTTGGAGGCCTCTTGGGCGCTTTGGGGGCGATCTTGATGGCCTCTTGGACCGTCTTGGGCCGTCGGAGGACCGAAAAACAGCAGATTCCAAAATACTTCAAAAGCCGAAAAAATATGAATTCTGCCTTTGGTGATCTCTCTTGGCCCGTTTTGTTGGCCTCTTGGGGGCCTCTGGGGCCGTCTTGGGTCTTCTTGAGGCCATCTTGGGCAATATTGAATGCATATCGGACCGTTTTTGGATAACATCTTGAATCAACATTTGGTCTTCTTGGGACCATCTTGGCCGTCTTGGAAGCCATCTTGGGCGTCTTGAAGGCCTCTTGGGCAGTTTTGAGGCCGTCTTGGGGGATTCTTGGGCCGTCCTGGGACCATATTCGAGGCCTCCTGGGCGCTCTTGGGGCGATCTTGCTGGCCTCTTGGATCGTCTTGAGCCGTCGGAATCCCGAAAAGACGCAAATGCCAAAATTCTTCAAAAACATATGGAAAATTCATGATTTGGGCATCTTCGGGCCATCATGGAGGAGCTCTTGGAGCGTCTGGGAGGCATCTTGGCGGCCTCTTGGGCCGTCTTAGGCCATCTTGAGGCTATCTTAGGCCGTCTTGGGTGCATCTTGGGCCGTCTTGGAGGCCGATTGGGACCATGTTAGCCGTCGTGGAAGCCACCTTGGGCCATCTTGGGCCATATTGGGGCCGTCTGGGGCAATAAAACTCTTCCGGGTGGCCGGCGGGACGCGCCGGAGCCCCAGGGGGAGTTCTTTGGGAAAAGAACCAAAACCAAAACCGAAGTCATCTAGCACGCCAGGCACCCCTGTGATGAATCAACAGAGGGCGGCGGATTATTAGTCCTCCTCCTCCTCCTCCTCCTCCTCCTCTTCCTCCTCGTCCTCCTCCTCCTCATCCTCCTCATCCTCCTCATCCTTCTCCTCCTCCTCCTCCTCCTCCTCCTCATGAGATGTTTATTCGACGCAGATTCCTTCTAAGCATTATGCTTATTAGTAGTAATAATACTGTCATTAGTATTATGTGTGCTCTTAGTAGTGTTGTATTCTTACTAGTATAACTGGGCTTGTTCTTAGTGGTATGCTTACTATTATTGGTATTACTGATATTATGGGTATTACTACTTACTGATGTGATTATTAGTACTAGTACTATTAATATTGTTATGATTGATGTCATCATGATTACTATAGTACTATCATGATCAATATCATGATTCGTATTATTCTTCTGATTCGTGGGATTATTTTTCTCATTGTTCTTCCTCCTCCTCCTCCTCCTCCTCGTCCTCCTCCTCCTCCTCCTCCTCCTCCCCTCCTCCCCTCCTCCCCCTACTCCCCTTCCTCCTCCTCCTCCTCCTCCTCCTCCTCCTCCTCCTCCTCCGCCTTTTCCGCCTCCTCTGCTTCCTCCGCCTCCGCCACCTCCTCCTCCTCCTCCTCCTCTTGCTCATCCTCCTCCACCTCCTCGTCCTCCTCCTCCTATCGTCTTCCTCCACCTCCTCCACCTCCTCCTCCTCCTCCTCCTCTCCTCCAGGCCTTCTTCTTGCTGGCGGACAGCTGGTTCGAGAGCATGGTCTCCTTCGCCGTCAGCTCGGCGACGGTGTTCTCCATCTCCACCTCCGAGGACGGGTCGCTGACAGGCGGCGGCGGAAGCCGGGGAGGGAGGGAGAGAGGGAGCGAGGGAGGCAGGAGTGGGAGAAGGAAGACGGAGAGGATTCAGGAGGAGTGGGGGTAGGCAGGACAGCGTTCCGTACCGCAGAGCTCTCTGTTCATATCTGATGCCATAAGTGACGTGCGCAGCGGGAACTCGAGAGAATGCTTCACCACGCACAGTCATGCCTGCACCCCTATCGTACGTAACCCTATCGCGCACGCGACCCCGTCGTGTGAGACCTCACGTCGGCAACAGCTCCGCTCCACATGGCGGACGGGGTCACAAGGCTGGCCCTATGGTGAGCGAGCTCGTACAGTGCGCGCTGTCTGCAGCATGCAGGAGGACCACGTGTGCCCCGCGCGGAGCGATCCTCGTCGGGATGGCGAGGGGAAGCAATGCGTCGAGCAAGCTTACAATGCCTTCTGGCAATATCCTGATTCGAGAAAGTGCGCGTGCGCAGAAAACTGGCAGCCTGGGATACATGCATTAACCTGGGATCCTTTCCAGGCACCATGCGTCCATGGTTCTGACATGCGCGCGCGCGTGGCCCGCCTTCTACTACTTGACAGGGATTGACAGAACATGCATACCTACGTGATATCAAGGAGTCTCATGATAGCAAGTGCGCGAGCGCGCCAAGCTGGCAAACTGGGATATGTTTAACCTGGGATGTTTTACAGGCACAATGCGTCCGCGGTTATGACATGCGCGCGCGTGGCCCGCTTTATACTACTTGACAAAGATTGACAGAATATGCAGACCTACGCAATATCAAGGCATGCACACCGCACAATGTGATTTGACAGGGAAAGTGCCCAGGGCCGGATGTGACGTGCCCTGCATTGTTTACGTATCAAGGAAAATGCGCGCGTGACCCACGCGGTATGACTTTGGCACGGAAAGTGCCCTGGTCCACATGCGGTGTGGTCTGGGTGAGGTCAGCTGAATGAAAGTGATGATAGGACTACGGATGATGATCATACTACTCACACTCATAAGAGGGGAGGGGAAGCTTTGATGAGGCTATTGGATGATATGCTTCCATGTGTGCTCAATTCGGTCTGCAGCTGTCCAGAGA